GAGGAGAGCTGCGCGGTCACGTTCTCCTCTGTGGACGGACTCCCCCTCCCCCACTCAAGGGCAAAGTGACGTGTCTTTCGGAAGCTTTGGGACGCTCTTTAGTAAGCATGAGCCGACAGGTGCAGTGAGAATGCTATGAGAAAACCCTTCTGAACTGAGCGAGGGCCTATCACTAGATCCAGCTAAGATCTGTATTGAATCATTCGTGAAGTCGCACTCCTACAGGCTTCTGGGTTTTAAATACCTCCGTCCAGCAAGTAGACGTTCCCCACTTTCTGTTCCCAGCGTCCTCGGTCATGGTGCTTTTTGTTGCATTAAAAGTGCCGGTCAAACTTTGATAGTATTTTTTTATAGTTGGTGCAGAGTGGAATAACTCATGGATTATTTCAATATTTTTGTAATAAAAATATAGGGTACACGTCTAGGCATCATCCCTTTTTTTATAGACCTGGAATCGTTTAAAACACTTTAAGCATCATAGTTGCTTGGGACGTCAGACACTGGTCCACAGATCCCATCAGCCTGCCTCGGCAGATTGAGAACACCTGTCTCTTGCAAGACCCCCCTACTTTACAATGTTGGTGCCCCCAGGAACCTGGCCAGGGGTGCTATTAGAACATCAGGTGACGAGAGAGTCCGCTTGACTAGAAAGGGCTTGTCAAGACTGGCCAATGTTTCCCCGGAAATCAGAGACGTAAACGATTACTTCCATCCATCCACTATGACAAACCTGACCACAGTGGACGACGTCTTAAACTCCCTTCCCTGGTTTTATATTAACCCAACTGATAGACTAAATATTAGTTGTCACTTTAAAAAAAAAAGTCAGTTTAACTTACCAATCAGTTATTTGGACTGTCCAATTCACTTTAAATAGTCGTGTTCTAGAGCCGCCACCTGTAACAGGCAGCTGCTGTCCCTGTGGTGATGTCCACAGGAGTGACAGGCAGCTCCACCTACAACTTTTTTGATACAAAGCACCAAAACGATGTTTAAAAAATAGACAATTTTTTATCAGTAGACATGATAGGATCCTCCAAGCAAGATTTCACTAAAAAAAATAACATTCTCTGGGCAAACATTATCTAGTCACCAGTAAAGGTCCAGGGAGACGCTCTTCTTGTCCACAATTGCTGAGAACATTCCACCACCCCCCAACTGTAGAAGGAAACAAAAATGATTATATTGGCAAATTCCTCACTTTCGGTGCAGAACCATGAGTTATTAGCATCATTATCTCCAAGACAACTTTAAATTGATGATCTTTGGAAGTTGAATTGCTCAGTTGAACTATAGCTTTGATGCCACGTGTAAATAACAGGTTATAATATTGTCAGTCAACACAAACCCAGCAGCCCTGTCACTCTCCAGCCATGTAAGACCTAAATTATTTCTCAATTATTTCTTCATGTAGCACGTGAAGAGCCAAAATGAGTGCTGTGTGGGTGTGAACCGAGGTGCTGTGCTTTGTCTTGGAGGTGAGGATGCATTCGGGAAGGTGTAAGAAGGGTGAATTTTTCAATGATTTCCCAAATACGGTAAATACTCTGTTATCCAACATACTTGAAGGTTACAATATTCTAGTCAAAATCCTTGTTAAGGAAATATCTCCACCATGTTCTAAATTACAAACTTCCTCAAGATTATAAACAAGAACAAAAAAAGTTTGCTTCTGAGGAAGACCATGACTTAATCTTGCTTCCAAGACTCAGAAGGCTCTGGGTTGCCGTCAGACTGTGCGGTGATGAGAGCTTTTATTGGCTTCTAGACATGCTGATAACAGAGAGTTTAAAGTATTAGGATTTAAAGAGACATCGTCAGTGTACACAGGAACAAAGTTTGATTTCCCTATTTATATTTCAATTCCTTCTTAGCTTTTATTTTCAGTTCACCATTTAACCCTCCACAGAGAGTAACCCAGGAATCCAAAGGGAACACACCACAGTTAGCACACAAATTGGAAGAGCTGGATTCTTTCTCTGTGGCCTCCAGCTTTCTATTCTGAGTCCACCTGGGTTCCCTATGGAGGGGAAGGGTCTGCTCTTAGTATTTGATTTTTGCACAGGACCATGAAATGTTCTGAAGGAAAATAAGTTTTTTGACTTTTAAATTAGCATTTCTCAATGAAACTCTATTTGAGATTAATGAATGTATATGTCTTAACCACACTGAGACTGTAAGTATTTGTGTGGAAGAAAAAGATTTTTCCATGTAAGTAGAAGTTTGGTCCCCAAAAATGACTATGCCCTTTAAATCTTCTCTGATTTCCATTTGTCCTCCTTAACTATGTACTGTTTAGTTCAGTGACCTTGACTTTACACTCTGTTACTATTCATTTATGACATTGCTGTGAACCCAACAAATGAAATAAATTTTCCTACTAACATGGCAAGAATATGCAATTCAAGTATTAGCAAAAGATAAAATACAAAGATAATCTGAAGATATTGAAGCACATTGAAGTATTTACACTTAATTTCTAAATGCCCTATTTCTTTGGCCCTGTGAATAAATGAAGTGACGGCACTGACCAATTTAAAGGGAATAGGGATAATTGAAATCTCAATGACTTCTTTTAAAATATCATCCATATATGTGTATAGTATAGATTACAAATATGTATTCTATATAATACACAAACACACAGCCACACAACTAAAGTGACAGAGGAAGGGTGTAAAGTATACACCGCCCTTTCATGTCTATAAATGGGTATGTTACTGACACATGAACTTTTAGATAAAAAGCTTTTTCTCGCTCCTTTCGGCACCAGCCCGAGCATATCGTCCACATCTGTTAAGATGTCAACACACCTGTGATCTTCAGTTGGAAATACCTAGATGTAATTTAGCTCTTTTAACTTGAATGAGCTCTCCCACTCCTGGAGGGGCTCATCTTTTAAGCAGTTGAATAGAATAGTTGTGAGTCATTGCAGAGTTTCTCTCTCCGAACAGACTGAATGGAGCGAAGGAAACCCCTGGGGTCCTTACCAGGATTCTGTGAGGTTACCTGTTTGCCTTGAATTGTACCAAATGCCATTGAGTGGAAACAACTTCTGACACAATGTTTGGACAAGAATTCAGAGGAATTTTTTTTCTAATGAACCATTTTCTAGACTACACGCACATTCCCCTCTGTTCTCACAAGTCTTTGCCATTAGCCGTTACCCTCTGTGTAAAGCTGGGACGAGGTGCCGCAGTTTTGTTTCTCAAGAGGATTCCTTAAAGCTCTTGTAAAAGTAGCTCGGGCCGTCTTTCAGAAATAGAGCTCCAAGGACGGCTGACGCGCCTGCTGCAGACGCAGAGGGACTTAGTGGCCGTTTCTCTAATTTCAGTGATGGGTTCAGATCAACTCATGTTCATTTATCTTCAGCAACCCAGTGTCACTTGTGGAAACCATCAGAACGATTGCTCCCGCCAGCTTGTGGCTCAGAACCCCCCTTCTCCCCCTCTGAAGCAGGAGCGCCTCAGACGGGCCAAGGACAAGCGATCCCCCTCCGTCACCACCGCCCCGCCCCTGGTCTCCGAGGCTCCGGCCCCGACCCGAGTCAGGCTGGGCAAGGGTCTTGACCTCTGGGCAGTACCTCCTCCCCTCCCTGGGGCAGAGCGCTCTCTGTGGACACACATCTTGTCCAGCTGCCTTCCTGAGAACGGGCACCTGGAAAGACACAGTACGTGTCCCTGATCAGCACCCTCAAAAGCAGAACTCCGCGGGGTGGGGGCGGGACTGTGTGAAAGCGCGAGCCATTCCGCTGCGCTGACCGTGGCGGTCAGGCAGCTGGCGCGCAGCCTGCTCTCACGCAGAGGGCCTGGCGGCGGGCGAGGCCAGCAGGAACCGGGGGTCTGGAAGCTCTTCCTTGAGTGTTTGAGGCATCGCGTTGTCTCAACACCCATTGGAAGCTCTTTCTCTAGATTCCATAAGGAAAAAGAAAAATCAGACTTTTGTAATATTGCAGCAACGGCTTAGCCCAGAAATCTAACACTTCGGTCTTTTGTGCTGCTAAATAAGAGGTGGTTTAATGTCGCTGCAATGGCTCGTTGCTTTGTTTAAATTGTTTTCATAATATTCCGATGGGAGTCAGAAACACTGAACCCAGGTTTCACTTTGGCTCCTCTCCCCCCGTGTCGGTGGTGGCTTCCCAGGCCTGAGAGCCTATCTGGTGCCTGGGCTGTGCCCACAGCTTCACCTGAGTGACCTCGGCCCATCCTCAGAGCCATCCTTGAGCGGAGCCCCATTTACAGATGATAAAACTTCAGCTCAGAGACATTAAACTAGCCAGGGGTCCGCAGCTGAGCATCACTGGAGCTGAGCGTTGAATGAAACTGATAATGACTTCTACCAGTTCCAGATCCTCCTAGAAAACCGAGGAATACTTTCCCACCCAGCTCTATTCCTGACTTGGCAAGGTCTCAGGAGAAACAAAGCGTAGTCAGATGATCAAATTTTTCAAAGAAAATTTCATTTAAGAGTCAAAGATGCCTTTCAGTGTGAAAAGCTGAACATTTTAAAAGTCAGTGACGAGAAACGGAGGTCTCTACCACCTGTCACTGAGTC